GGCTGGAGAAATGCGGCAGCGCTGGCACATTTCAGCAGTCTCCAGCACCGCGTGGAGCTGGAAAGCGTCACCAGCAGTGAAAGAGGAGTTTCATGTCTCAGCCGGGCGACTGTTTAAAAAGTGACAGTCGTCAAACGGTCTGAGAACCCTTTAAATGCTGGAGAGGTGCTGGTCGCATCTCCTGCCCCTCCGCAGAGTCACATCATGAGCAGTATGTACAATGAAGATGACTTCAATGCTTTTCTTCTTTGTACGATCACGTACCTAAATGCCAAACGTCCATCTGGTTTGATCTTGTCCTCGGCCAACGCGCTGGCCGCTCCGTCCCGGGCTGGGGAGGACGGGGAGCCCGAGCCCCTGGGGAAAGAGAGAGTCACAAATCCCATGGGCACAAGTTCCAGCATCCGCACGCTCAGGTCTCGCCTCCCCGCATGGTGCTTCGGGAGCGATGCGGAAGGTCATCACCGCTGTGCGTTGCCTTCTACGGGGAGAATGGCGTGGTGCAGGCTCCGCGTGTGCTTCGAATCTAGTGTTTCGTGCTCTTCCGTGAAGCTGTCCGGGCTTGCCGCTCCGTCTAAAGAACTTCCACAGCTAGAGTTAGGAGACAACATGTCCTGCAGGAGGTCTTCCTGGACTATCCCAGAGTCTTTGTTCACTTTGCCCCTTTGGTTTCCTTCTTCCTCCTGGTCGTTGAGCAGCTTGGCCAGGAAGTTGATGTATTTCATAGCCAGGCGCAAAATCTCATTCTTGCTCAGTTTTTTGTCGGGCGGGTGAGTGGGGATGAGCTTGCGAAGCTCTGCAAAGGCTCCGTTGACGTTCTGCTGTCTCCACCTTTCCCGGCTATTGGTAAAAATGCGACGAACCACTTTCGTATGAGGACCTGCAATTGCAACCGTGCAGAGTTAGGAGCAGGGCATAACAGATCATTTATTACTTTGCTGAATAGGTCACCGTTTCCCAAATTAACTGATTTATTTTAGTGACATCAGCAGTGAAACAGGAATTTCCAGCTAAGTGGAAGCTAATCTGATGAGCTGAGGTAGTCGTAATTTCTGTTCAATCCAGTGGAAGGGCAAAAATGGAGTTGTGTCTTTTTAGATGTCTCCTGAGACACCTAAATTTACCTCTCTAAGGAGGAGGGCTTAGGCCATGACACATGTGCAGAAGGCTGCTTTATTTTTAGGGTATCTCAGCAACAAAGGTCCTATTAGAACGTTAGGTTGCAAGATGGTTTTATTTTCTATCCCAAAAGTGTCTTAAGGACATACCATTGGGACAGAAGGAAATAAGCTTGAGCAGAGGCTTTGACAACTCTAAGATCCAGAGATCTTCCCTTATACAGGCAGGACCCAGAGCTGACAGAGACCATAGGATTGCCACCAGCCCTCTGGGTGGTTTGTATGAAATGAGATGGCAGGATTCACCCCGAACCAATGAGGACAGGTAGCAATGTGACCCACCGAGAGAAAGCAGTGTCCTTGGTGGAAGGGTGATCGCGGGTGGAGGATGAAGCAGTTTCACGGCTGACCTGAGGTCCGCCTGCTCTCTCTGCACATCTCTCTGCACATCATGGCAAAAACTCCCTATCTGACAGTAATTGGAGAAGGGACTCTAAATTGCTAGAGGTGGCCATTTGGCTCAGTTACATGTGAACTCCAGTTACATCCCTGTAATATGCCCCCGCCATATTCCCGGCGGGGCATGTTACACACGATGGACGCACAAAACGTGTCAATTCTCCTTCCAGATCATCAGGGTAACTCCTGTTGGCACGAGTGAGACATTATCTTGGCACTAGGAGAGACCCAAAAGCATGTTTACCCAGAAGTACTGTGCTACAGGAGCAGCAACGCTGTACATCAGGACTGCAGGTCCTCGGGTCCATGGAAACCAGTTCAGGTAAGGAGACACTACCGTAAGATGCTTTTATTACTACATCCTTTCCATCCCCACCTCCAGGAGACACCAACAGTAGAAGGACACAGCGATCTCATGAAACTATGGGAGAATAACCATGGCAGAAACCCCCATAGGATGGGAAGCATCACATACAATGAAAATCATCACAAAGTATGAAGCAAAGACTTGCAGATAACACAGCGGTGAGTCGTACCCCAAAGGCCAGGCTGTGGATATTCCCATCCGCACCATCTCTCCCCAGTAGCCCACCCTCTGAGTCACTTGCCTAATACCTCCTGGGCACGGTGAGCAGATTAAGCTGGCAGCTCTGCCACGACCCAGTGAAACCAGCATCCCGTGGGGGGTTTAAACATCATTACTCGTATACAGCAAAACTCTTGGCTGCTTTGACAGCAAAGCAGCCGAACAGATGTGATTTTTGAGGCATCGTAGTCAGGCTGCACCTTGACAGATCCCACCTGCCATGACGCGAGAACAGGAATCCCACACTCCAGCTGATTAAACACCACCATGCTTTCCCCCCTCCGGAGCAAACTGAGCCCCTTCGGGCCAGCACATCACACGAAGTATCCCCCACCGCAGGGTTTGCATGGAGACACACTCCCAAGCAGCCAGATTAAAGCTACCGGCTTCTCCAGCGTGCAAGCAGCCGTACAACTCACTTCTCCTCGCGGTGTGCTCAGGAGCAGGGAGTCCCCCAAAATCACAGAGAGCCGTTGGGATAAGCTGGGGTATGTCGGAATGAGAAACTCATCTTCGATCTCTAAGATCCCGGTCTGATGCTTTAATAAAGCCAATTTTCCACTCCCGTACAGCACATAAGTGGCCTTTGTATGAACTAACGTGCTCATGGAAAGGGAAGGTTTCTTATCCCTGATGTGCACAGCCCGCTGTGCCATGGGGTCGTGGGGAAGGTGGGGGGGACTGAGGGGACCTCAACAACACCAGGCTGTCCGGCACTGTTAATAAGGCAGTGGAGAATGTGCTGCAACCTGCTACAGTAATACAAGAGCTTCAACACTTAAATGCTCTTTCCAGACAAGACAAAGCAACCAGCCTTGAATCCAGAAGGAGATGCAGCTTAAAACCTTTTTATTCCCGTAAGAGTATGAGGGGAAAAAAAGAAAAAACTTGGATACTGTTTGTTTTCCAAAATAAATTTCAAGACGCTTCCAGTCTTCACAGGCTTCAAACATATGTCTCTATTCACTGAAAGTTGCCAACTAAAAGGCATCTATTCATAAAATTTTGAAATCAGAAAAAAGACCTGTTCGTTTTCATCCAGGGGAACCAAGCTCCAGTATATAACACAAATTCTGACACCACTCAGATTTTTGATTCCTGCATCAACCAAATTAAACATATCTTTTAGAAAGAGATCAGGTTTTGGCCAAAACATGTCAAGCAATGGAGAAATTTTAAATGCCCCATAGCTGTGTTATAATAGAAGAGATTTATTTCTCATAAAGAAACTTGCCTCATAACTAATTCAAGCAGTTGGCTGAGAATTTTTGCTTGGATTTTGTTCCAATGGATTGACTGATGCTTTTTTAAATTGTAATTAGAGGTCTGAGGAAAACAAGTAAAAAGATGAGCTTCCAAAGTTACAGAATGTCCTTGCAGATACTTTTTTACATTTTTATCTGCATTTATATCTATTCTTCAAGAAGATATTCAATGCACCAAACTTTCCCCAAAATGGATAAAGAAATAGTTGCAAAAAAACCACCACTCGTTTCCTTACAGAGGAAACCGAACACCAAGCACCCGGCAAGACTCTCCTGCCCTTCTGCACCTCCCGAGGGCTGAGGACCCCCAGGAGCAACGGTCCGGTGTGCCGCGGATATCACTCGGCAGGTGAGCATCAGAGCAACGAGCAAAGCCCAGCAGACACCACAGACGCCTCAGCATGGGATGCACGTCCCTACAAATTACTCCTGTTTAGACATCGTCTGGTACCTATTTTCCCCCAAAAAATTCTGAGCCTAGTCTTGGAAATTCACATCAGCCTGAACCTGCAGGATTGGGCCCAATCTATACACCTGCATTACCTGGCAAGCACATATCCAAAAGCTTGGTTACAACCAAGTATCTCTGTAATCCTTAGTATCTAATTTAATAGCAGGTCGAAGGCTTTAGTCAGACACCGTGATTTGATGGACTTTCACCGTAGCCGCTAAGCCTCTGATGCAAAACGCAGACAAAAAGCCCTTCTTGTGCGGGGGGCTGAGACACCCCCTGCCCCACGGGGCTGCCGTCTGAAAGGACCAGGCAGAGGGAGGAGGGCAGAGAGTGGGGGGAGAGGGACTGATGAGCGCAGATAATGCTCTGAGCCCATCGGTTTGTACCGTATTATTTTAGAGTGATGTGGATTATGATTTGATCTGATTTTAGATTAGCCGGGTAGAAGGAAAGGGAAAGCTAGCTAGAAGGAAGGAGAATTAATTGTCTGGCGATTGAAATACAGCATTTACAATTGCTAAAGAGAAAACACATTTTGATGGATCTCATTTGTACGGGCTGTTAACTCTGCAGATAAACGCGTCAGCCTTCCACGTGCAAACTGTTCTTGCGAGTGCCCCTTTGTGTGGGCAGCGCTGCTGCCCGCACGCAGCCTCCCGCGACCCACGCCGGCTGCCCGGGAAGCGGGATCCTGCCCTGCCTTCCCGCTGCCTTCCCTTCTTTGAAATCATCCTCCCGGTCCGACAGGGATCCCCGCACCTGGGATCTCTGCTCGGACACCGGACTGTCACCCTCCACATCTGCTCCCAGACCAGACACACGATATTTCTCCACGGCGGACTGCAGCACGGTGTGGATATATACTGAATCAAGCTGTAGACAAGCTGGCACGCAATCCCGCTGTGACCCTGCAGACCTCAGCACAGACTTAGCCCTTTGCTTCTACACAGTTTAAAGGCGGGTGGGATCTTTCTGCCCAAGGCTGTGGTCTGCGTTAGGAACGTCTCCTGGCTGAAAGGGGTTGCAAACACAGCATGTCACTGCAATGGCCCTGATCCAGCCTCTGCACTTCAACAAAGGCTTAAATTTAGTGGCTTCCTTCGGATTTAATCTCTAAGCAATTTGCAGAACAGGGATGTAATTAACCATACGCTAAACTGCTTTGCTGGGTAAAGCAAATCCACCAAGCACGCTCCCGGTCATTAGTCGGGACAGATCTGAGCTCTGCTGTACAGAGCCTTACCGGGGG